GCCTCGCTCGCTCTCGCAATATTTCAGAAGTAATCCTATACCTGTTTCCGAGCAGACATTATATATAAATGTTTTCGTTTCTTTTTGGTAACTTATTTCGGTTCCGCCTGGCGGGGTGCTATTTTTGAGAGCGAAAATTGAGGGTGGGCGTGGGGGCGGGGGAAGGCAGTCGCATATTCGTCCCGACGGCGCAGGGCGGGGGTGGGGGGGGGGCAGAGGGTGGTTGTGGCTGCGGTGGCTGCGTTGTAACGGGCGAACGTGATGGTTGCGGGGTTTGGAAGAGACGGTGCCGTGGTCACGTTTTCGGGAGGGAGAGAAAATCTCGCGGCGAGAGCAGGCACGCGGAGCGGATTTGTGACGCGGCCGCCTAAAAATAGGCGTCAGGCGGCGGAACGCGCGCGCGCGCGCGCGCGTGTGGGCCGACTGCCGCCCCCGCCCCCACCGCACACCTCCGCCGGCAGCCGATATTGTTCCGAGCTGTCGCCTCCCAGCGGCTTTTCAAAATGAGTTTTGCGAATGACCTGCCACCCGAACTTGATACATGCCGCAATAAAATAAGTTGTTGTTTTTTGGATTTGTGAAACGTGTGATTGGGATCTCGTCTGCGATGTTTGAGAGGTTTCTTGTTTTTGGAACATTCCTAGAGCTGCAAGAAACTCCAGTTATTTTCGAAGAACATAATTAACCTCTGTGTTTTACTTTGTGGCGAAAGAAGTCCAGTCTGATTATATTTTCGTTATTTTGATGCACGCTTATGTAACATTCATGTGCTTGAATTAAAATTAAATGCAAAAAGGAATTCCCATAATGTGCCTCCTGTGTTTATTTTGTAGGCGCACAAATTAACAAACATTCTTGTGGTTAGCGTTTTTCCAAAAAACTCTCTCTCAAATATTGTCCCTTGGTAAGTCCTAAGTACAATTTATTTAAAACTTTCATTTTTTTACGTATTACTTATTAATCCTTCGTAGAAACAATTTGTTTGAAGGGATTTTCGTGTGATATTTGTTGTATTTATATCTTTTTGAGTTAAATTATAAAATGCACTTTCCTCATGAAAGGGTTCACTGAACCCCATTGACAGGGATTATTCTATTTCACACAGTTTGTGGTTTATTTGATATTCGAGGACAGGGGGCTTCTGTACTTCCTCGCAGAAAGAGCCGTCTCCGAATGGAGCGACGGAAGGGAGTTACGCGTCGTTGAGATGCCCGCAACAAAACATCGATGTTGATAATTCATCGCTCCTCTAACGCGTTTTTGCTGCGATAACTTTTAATTTGACAATGACAGTGACTATTTAGTACGAATTAACTGATAGAAAAAAAATCATTAGAACGATTATCAAAATTGAGCGTGAAAGCCTGACCGCTCTGGCTCATCTCAAAGGGTCACAACTTTGCTCAGTTGGCACTACAAGAATGCGGATAAACGGGAAAAGGGGAAAACGTTGGCCGCAGATGAGAAATACGAGGACATGCGAAGGAAATGGCAGGTCACTGGAGACATCTCTTGCGGAACAGATAGTGATGCAGGTAATACAATCTGCGTTCACTTCAAGCACATGAACTGACATTGAATTGAATTGAATTGATGCCTTATTTTACGTGGCGAGACTCTGGCCATCAGGCCCACTCTTCCGTCTGACCACTTAAATTTCGCTACGCTCCTTTCACCCGCTAGCGGAGAAAGGAGGTATTTCTTGGGCGACGAAACAGGCGATTTGAATTTGGCTCAGAGGCGTCATTTAGGCTTGAGGGTCTATTACATACAAGTAAATCTATTGACATGGGACAGCCTGATTTACTTCCCCTCCGAAGGAAGGCGTATGAAGGAGTTTTTTCGCCCTTAAAAAATCCATCGGCTTTCGGAAAATCGGGGGTGTTTTTTTTTTTGCAAGTCGCCAAACTTAGGTATAAGACGAAGTCCGATATGGCTAACCGTACACATCGCGCCGTGCAAAAATTGCGCACGCAAAAACCATACGCTCGCGCAAAACATGGCAATTGACATCGATAATGTAATTATTTCGTAGTTTCACTTCTACGAACTGGTGAACAGGAGGGAGTCTTATTCTTTGAGAAACAAAACCCTCGGGATGAGGAGTCATCGATGTATGCCATCGCGGGCCGTTGGATTGGCAGTCGTCCGGCGCGCGGCACGAGATAGGGCTTGGACGTCTGAGTGTGAGGGCGAGCGTGGCTTATCGAGGGGGCGGGCGAGTGGCGAGGAGGGCGCGCCGCGACCGTCGCGTCGCCCGCTTCTGACTGATTGAACGCTCCAGGGGAACGGGGATTGATGTTTATGCTAATTGTGCGAGCGCCGCGCCGCGCCGCGCCGCGCCGCGCCGTCGTTAACTGCGTGTGATTGCCGCGAACTCTCTTTACCGCGCGCTCCGGACACAGCCCCCGCCCAGCGGGCAGCACTTCAGCCCTCTGCCCAGCACCGGGGTTACCGCCGCCCCTGCCCCCTTCAGAAGGTCAGAAAAATTACATGAAGAGATCGACCTATCTTTTTTTTCTTTCCTTTTTTTCTCCCTCATTTTTATCCTTCTATTTATAGTTTTATTGTTTGCTATTCACAAATGGGACCAGTTAATTGAAAAAAAGTTTTAATTGTCGTTCTGTTTTATTGATTGCAAATGTTACATATGATAGAAATCGTATTCTCTATCCAAAATATCATATTCAAGACGGCCACATTATTTTAATTTTTTGCAACATTATTGTTCAACAGCAGTGTTTCCAAAGACCTTTCGTTTATTTCCATGCTTAGTCGTACATGCTCCTCATCCTCTCCCCCCCCTTATCACATCCACTACCACCACCATACAATTCATCTTACTATAGTTCACTTCTTGTTCTAATGGAACTCATTGAAGAACCTACCATGAGATTAATACTCTCGTACAATGGATGTTGTTCAGAATATTCTAGTAATTCACGACGAAGTCGTTTTCTCCAAAACGTGATAATACTTCAAGTTGTGTCTACAAGCACAATAATTCTTGGATCTGTATAAAACATGGTGTAGCTACTTTAGATAACGCGACACTCCTTGAATATCGGAAGCGAATATCAGAGGTATCGCAGAAATCATGTTCACGTGATCGATTTGGACTTTGATGAGCTTTCCAGCTCTTTATTTTTGTTTTACACCAATTGATTTTCCGTTGACATGTTAATAAATTAAGGGTTTTGATGAGTGAATTATAGCCTGTGCATGGAACCAATGAATGTCATATGTATTCAGCTTATCCTGTGTAATCTTTTGTATGGCTTCATGAACATGAGGTGAAGAATAATTATTCGGAATGTGAATATAAATATTTCCTCATTATTGTACTGGCATCAGCCTTCTCAAATTGCATTCATTCCTGAATGGATCCAACTCCACGTGCATGTTTACCACTCAAAAATTGTTTTTTGTTGTTATCTCGATTTTACCATTTGCTGCGAATTATTTTACATCGTTGATGGTCAATTTGATTACGCTCTTCACAGAATGCTCTGTATTCAATATAACTAAATAAGTGTTCTGTTAATAAAGAGAATGACTTACTTTTACTATGGTATTTAGTTATTGTTCAAGATAATTTAAAAGCTTTAATTTTCTCGTCATTCGCATGATATTCAGTAACTAATGCGATTAGAACTTAAATTTCAGTTCGAATTTTCTGGCGAACAAAATTGTTTCGAGAACACTTCATATTTTGCCAAATAATGTACAGTGAAAGGGAATGAGAATTCATTTGAACAAGATAGAAGACAGCAACTACTTGATATGCTCATTAACTTCTGCACTTATTAGTAGAGTCCAGAAGAATATGTAGTATGAATCTGCAAAATAAGTACACGCAAGGGGCCTTACACTAGTTTAGCCTAAGCCCTTAGGCCAGTGTCAACATTAGCTGAATGAAGTCCGAAATTATCAAATCATTTTCTTTCACACAGCTTCACTTACATCCAACTGGCAAATTTGCGAACGAACAGCCTACTTCTAATATTGGTCGTATTTCGGAACTTTGCGTTGAGATAATCAAATTGTGACTCAGTAAGGCATTAGAGATTGATAGCCGCCATGTTTCTGTATTACTTTTGTTTATCTACGGAAATTCGTTATTAAATGTTTATGCATCGAACTCACCAACTTCGTGTTTCCTGTGAAATATATAACATTTTCGCAATTGAACTGTAATTACATGATTTTTTTTATCCGACGTGTAAGTTTACATATACGTATGTATGATTATGCGTTGTAATGAAACATTTTAATATGTTGTGTGTAAATAAGGATGACTTCATCGTTTTAATTTCGTGGACGTGAGAGCCGTAGTTCTGACTGCACAGTTGTCATGACTTCATGAGAGAGCACCTGTTGTCTTGCGTCTCCCGTGAAGTGTCTCTCTCTCTCTCTGAGCTGCCATAAACCGGCACGTGCGGGGGCAACTGGTTAATCAATCCGAGCGAAATACCCCATCGATAGCGGCAATGCCGCGCTATCTCAGCGCCGCTCGTCTTTTTGATGGCCGGGGCCTCCGCGCCCGGGGCAGCCCACAGAACGCGCGGCCTCCTCGCTCACAGGCAGCTGCCGCTCGGCCGCGTGTGTGTCACATTCAATTCAATTCAATGGAACCTTATTCTACGTGGCGAGACTCGATCCATCAGGCCTGCTCTTCTGTCTGACCACGTCTCCTTTCACCGTCTAGCGCGGAAAGAAGGTATCAATCGAGCGACGAAACAGTCGAATTTAATTCAACTCTGAGGCTTCTTATACATCTACAACATGAGACAGCCGGCTTTACTTCCCTTTCGAAGGAAGGCGTTTTTTCGCCCTTAAAATCCACGGCTTCGATCGGGTTTGAACTCGCGGACGTGGCTACAGAAGTCCGATGCGGTTGTGTGACGTGTGTTGTGATGTGTGACGTAATGTGTGACGTGTGTTCGCAGGTTCACGAGCTGTGCGACAACTTCTGCCACCGGTACATCAGCTGCCTGAAGGGCAAGATGCCCATCGACCTGGTGATCGACGAGAGGGAGTCGAGCAAGCCCCCCGAGATGACGGGCTCCACCAACGGCAACGACGGCGCGCGCAGCACAGCCGACTCCACGTCGCACACCGACGGCGCCAGCACCCCCGACGTGGTGAGTGGCCCAGCGCCTCCTGGGTGGAGTCCGTTCCCCTCTCTTCTCTCACTCTCTCTCGCTCTAGGATCAAAACCTGCGGTTCCCTCGGCCTGAATTTTTATCTCGGTGGTATTAAAGTGAGCCAGGTGTTCCTTAAGGTTCACATCTCGGTCGGGTAAAGAATATCAGTATACGGTACAACTTTTTATCATATGTACCGTAAATAATTTTAAATATTTATTTGTTAAATTCTCACTGACCGTATTGAAATAAATTATTAAACAAGTTCATAGTGGCCACATTCTGGTTAATTGGGGAAAATCAAGGAATTTGAATTGCTGTGGAAAGTCAGGTAGAAATTAGGGAATTTGTAGAAGAGTGGGTAGAAGCTAGGGAACATTTTGAAAGAGTTAAAACTGATATTAAAGCGATATTTTTGCCTCAATTTTTATTTGGGGGCACAATATTGTTCATTCGTACTTTTTCATTGCGAAAGCAGAGAGGTGAACTATTAGTAGCAGGTTAGTTAAAATATTTTCTTTAAGTAGTGTGAATTTACAAATATCAGGAAAAACATGGGAAACGTTAGGGAATTTTTTTCCAGAAAATATGTTGCCACCCTGAAACCTTGTTTTTTTTTTTTTAATTGTACAGGTTTCCCAAGAGTTCAACATATTCGTTCTTAAAAACATGCACTTATTGAAAAATGCATAAAGCAGTTATAGGTATTATTAAAAATATTTTTGAGTAATTGAAAGACGATTTTCTTGGGGAAATCATGAATTAGTAAATCAGAATTTTAGCAACCTTAATTATTGAAGTTAATTTTTGCGCATTAAAACTACAAATTTTTTATTTTGTGTTCTTGTTCAGGTATTTATGTCGTAAAACTGTAATGGGGTAATACCACTGAATGACAAGAGAGCCAACGGATTCCACTCATCTTATTATTCTGTTCACCTAGTGGCATGAAATATAAATTTCGATTCGCATCTTGAAAATATGTTTGGCAATCACACATCTATAATAATGGCGTTGAAATGCTATAATCACCGACATTATTTAGAACTGATAAAATAAAAATAGTTCATTCTAAGTATTGCAGTATAGAACAACACACTATATCGAAATTTTTTTAAAAAATATATAAAAGTTTCTTAACTGAAAATCCGTGTGTGTTCTCATGGCTTTTTAGCATCACCACCAGTACTAATGACGTGCAGTACTATCATTAGTTTCGATTTTCATTTATTGTTAGACATCACTTGATGAATCGACTTTTAATTTCGTTTCCACTTATGCCCGCATGAACTTCCATTATTGGAAATCTTTTGTGAGAATCGTATGTAGAATGGACTAGCATATTGAGAATATACTGCATGAATTATTTAATAATTTATTTTTACATTTTGGACCGGAAGGACAACAGCTTTATATGTTTATTTTCAGATAGTAATCCTTTGATTGATGATTTTCTTTGAACCACTTTTTAAGTTTCTGACATCTTCAAAAATATTTATTTCTTGTTTTTAGGCAAACATTTTAGTCGTGAATTTATAATTAGTATACACAGTCTGTGTATCACAATTGTTAAGGTTGGGTTCCTATTGTTTAAAGGTTGAACTTGCATTGAAGTGTTAATAAAAATAGATATCTGATATTACAGAGATTAGTATTATTTCTAAAATCTTTACTTCTGTTTTTTGATAAGCAGTTTTATTGTTGCAAAAAATGCAGTTATCTTCCTCAGGCGTATTTACAATTTATAAAGTAAATTTGTAAAGGAGTAATATTTTGTGTATATTTTCAAATCTGTATTAACCGTAATGATTTTCAAATTTTGCTTTAAATTTAAACTAAAATTAAATTTAAACGAATAATTAATTACGTAATTTGCATGTTTCGTGTGTACTATAAAGTGAGAGAAATGCCGGGTTGGTACGCTTTAATAACTGAAAATGTCCATGCCTTTTTTTGTCAGCTTTGTTTGAAAGCCTTCATTACGGTAACAAAGCGATTCGCAGCAAACTGTATTTGCAACGTTTGCTCATCTCATTGTACAGATAGCGCTGATGTACTTTGTAGTCTCGAAATGACTGTTCGAAAAGCTGCTTATATTATAGTAACTCCTTAAATATTGTTGTTTCGTATCGTAATATTTATTTACTCGTTGGTCCTTGCACGAGGACCGGCTTGACAAAGCTGAGGAAAACACGCTCGATGCAACCATAGTAAAGCTGCCGGAACGACCAGCAACTGAAGAGAACCCCCTCTGAACAGCCGTATCGTCCTCGCCCGGGGGCGAGAGGCCTTATTGGTTCGGCAGGTCCGCGCTGCCACCCCCCTGTCTGCTGGGCGCGCTCGGAAGTCTCGACGCCCATAATGTAGGCATTCCAGGATTTGATGGCGTGGCTGTGTGAAGGGGGGGGGGCAGGCTCCTGATTTTGAGGCGAGCGAAGCCTGGGGTCAGGAGGACAGCGGAAGCGACTGAGCCATTTCGAGGATTCCGAGGTCCCTGGCCAGGACGCGTCGTTCACTCACGTGCAGTTTCACATTGCACTGTTCTGTTTTGAGGTCAGGAGGATCTTCTCTCAGGAACAGGAGAAAAAGAAACTCAAAGATGATTGTATTGGCATATTCTGATCAGTGAAATTAGAGCATGGATTCGTGAAAGCACATACAAAATATTTTTGGCGAAACAGTTTCGTTTTTCCAAATATTTTAGTATCATTATCAGATGTGTTAAAATCTAGTAAATTATTTTGTATTCTAAAACTTAGCAAATTTTGGCATATGTATTTATTATACATCATTCATTTTTTTTTAATTTATCGGTATTGCGGTAGAAATAAACTTTACCATTTAAGTGGTTAATAGATTGAGATCAATATTAATAATTATAATAATAATAGTAATAATATTTATTGTTACAAAATTGCGACTAAAACGTATCTAAATAAAAGTTCTCTAAGTAACTTAAAAACCCAACTTCAACTACGTGGTTTGAGAAGACGCATTATTTATTTCACCACATTTCCTGAAGGGACAATTTCACAGCGTTGTCGTGGGCGTCGGCGTCGAGCGCGAAAAAAATCACGTAGCGTGTGATTCGTTTACTGTGCTTTAATAATGGCCGTGCGGCGCGGCCTCGCCTGTGTCAGCCTTCTTAATGTTTGAAGCGAGAATCGATGGTGCTGCGGGCGGTGGGAATTTCGAAAGACGCGCGCGGGGGAGGGTGACGTGGGGGGGCTTCTGTCTTGTTAGCGAGGCCGCGCGTAAGGCTCTCGTTAAAGGAGGCGGAGGGCGCCGTGAATAATGACACGAGTGAACCGGCGCCCGCCGTAGCAGGTGATTCTGACAGACACGGGCGCTCCCGCCTGCCAGTCGGACACGGAGGAAGAAAGGAAGTTACTTCTGTGCATGCAGGGGTAATTATGGAAAAGCATTCCGTATTGTTTAATGCATAATCGATATTTCGGGGGCAGCCAATGGCGGGCCGGCGCCGGCGCGCGTGTGTATGTGCTATACTGCGGCCCTCGCTTTATGAGTGGTCGCTTGATTGTGTCCATTTAGGGCGTCCTCCCCCACCCCGAACGCCCGCTATGCGGCAGTCCGCCGGGCTGTCCGCGTTTTAAAGTCTCGTTCAGCGGCGGGAGGCTAGCGTGCGATTAAATATGCGCCTCCGTCGGCAACACTGATTACATCACGCAGTCAGAAAGCGCTGGATTTATTCCTTTCGAGAAGCGGTCGGGGCGCCGGCCCCACGGAGTCTTGCGGCCGATGAGAAATTCAGAAGCGGATGTGAGGAACCGGGTAAAAGCCGAGAAGGAAACGGGTGGGCTTTGTATCATATTTTAGTGCCCCGTCAACCCCCTCCCTCCCCGTGCAGACGTCGATTGACGCCGGTAAGACGTCTGCCTTTTGAGAATAAGGAATGCTCGAGGCGCCACAAGCACCTGCTATTTATCCACCCCGCCAAGGCGCTTCTTTTCGTATGGACGTCGGCTGCGTGGTTCGGCGTCTCGAAATTCGCCGCGCCCGGTTTCGTTCGCCGTTACGGGTATTTGTCGAACACATAAAATGCCGTAAAAACCGTATTTTAAGCGCGATGATAACTAATTCATAGTGCGTCGGCGCGACGCATATTCCGGATGCCGAGAAGACTTCCCCGAGGGGGGGGGGGCGGAAGCAGACGAGATGCCTGAAGCGAGCCACTTCAAAGACCCGGGACGCGTGCTTTTGAAGCGCGCCCTGTTTGTATATGCAACCTCAGCAACGTTCTGAATAAATGAGCCGCTGATCAATTTGTAATGTGGACCCCCCCCCCACACACACACACACACTTTTTTACCGCATGTTTCGGACGTTTGTACCGCGTTCCTCCTGCAAAGAAAGAATTCTATTTTGTGCACCCCCCCCTCCCACTGTCGCTCTAGGCGGAATATTTGTGCGCTCGTTCATGTCTCGGAGAGAGAGAGTACAGTTTGGTTTCGTTCCCTGCCGCCGCGGCGCGCGGGGCGTTGCAGTAGCAGCGTTTCTAACATTATTTGCATAGGATTTCTATTTCATTTGCACACTGCATAATGTGGACTCAGTTTAATTCAATTGTTTTTTCAGTGCGTGTCTGCGCGCCGGCGGAGGGAGCGGGGAAGGGCGGGGGAGACTTTTGAGTTTTAGCGGATTAAGATGGAATTCTTCGCCCTTCGCCTCGCCGATCCGGCCATCAAACGTGGCAAGAATGTTCATATCTTACTAAGATTCCGTTTCTTCTCGAGATTCGCTTGCCAGCTCCCCCGCTCGCCGCTCTTCCGGCGCCGCGCGCTACGGCGCACCCCACTTCCGAAGCTCTTCGTCTTCCCTTTCGCCATTACGTGCGTGGTTGCATGCGCTGAATCGAAATGGTTCATCTCTTCCGCGCTGTTTCTCCGCGTGGCGGGGCCGGTGGGGGGTGAGGAGGAGGACGAGCGGGGACGCGAGCGACTGAAAGGGCGATTCCGGGAACCCATTCACACGCGCGC